CCTGTTTAACTCAGTTCTGTCAGTCAAGGGGTGCTCGGGGCAGATCTGAGCCTTGGAGGCTCCCCCTCCGTCCTGCTGGCCTCTCCGTTGGAGAGGGGAGACCCAGCGAACGAGTGCCAGTCCTCCTTTGCCGCTCCCTTCCCACGAGATCAGTCCCACACTGTTTTGCTTTTCCTTCTTTCTTTTTTCCTTTTCTGCTACCAGATTTTTGGCATCATTGTTTTTCGAAGAGGGCGACGTTCTGTTGGAGTTTGGCAGGTGCTCTGGTTGGCTGAGTAGGTCCGTAGATGTGATCTTTGGTGTATTTGTGGGAGAGGGTGAGCTACAAGTGTCCTTCTACTCTGCCATCTTGCTTCTCTCTCCCACAATCTAATTTTAGAATATTTTCATCACCCCCAAAAGAAATCCAGTATCCATTAACAGTCACTCTCCATTTTTCCCACAACCTAACTCCCCAAACTCTAATCCTAAATCAGTAGACCACTGAGTCTACTTCCTGTCTTTATGAATTTGCTTATTCTTGACATTTTATATAAATAGAGTCATACAATATGTGGTCTTTTGTGTCTGGCTTCTTCCATTTATCATAATGTTTTCAAGTGTCATCCATGTGGTAACATGTGTCAGAACTTGATTCCTTTTTCTGGCTGGATAATATTCCACTATATGGATATATTGATTTGTCCATTATTTGAAAGGCATTTGGGTTGTCTTCACTTTTTGGCAATTGTGGATAATGCTGCTAAGAACATTCACATGCAAATTTTTGTGTGGACTTAACGTTTTAATTTCTCTTGGAGCCAAATTACTGGGTCTTATGGTAATTTGATATTTAACTTTGAGGAACAGCCAGACTGTTTCCCCAGTTTACATTCCTATCAAGCAGTGTGTGAAGGTTCTACTTTCCCACATCCTTGCTATATATATTTGTTATTGTCTGTCCTTTTCATTGTAGCCATCCTGTTGGGTGTTAGGTGGAACCTCATTGTGGTTTTGATTTGCATTTCCCTACTGACTGTTACTGAACATTTTTTCATGATCATATTGGCCATTTATATATCTTCTTTAGAGAACTGTTTCCTCAAATCCTTCACCCAATTAAAACAATTTTTAACCTTTTATTTTGGGAAGTATTCAGATCTACCAATACAGTTTCAAAAAAAAGTACAAAGAATTTCTATATGTTTCACCCAGACTCCTCAATGTTAACCCTTTACCACATTTGTTTTACATTCTGTCTATGTACAGATGATTATTTTGTTCTGAACTGTTGAAGAGTAAGTTGTAGATATAATGCTCCATTACCTCTCAATACTTGAGTGCGTATTTCCTCAAGACAAGAACATTCACTTATGTAAGCACTGTACAGTTATCTAATCAAGAAATTGAGATTGATATGGTACTATAATCTACAAACCTTATCCAAATTTTACTTATTGTCCCGCTAATGTCCTTTACAGTGAAACAAAAGATTTTTTCATGATCTAATCTAGGATCGCATGTTATCATTTAGCTGTCATGTCTGTATAGTCCCCTTGTATCTGGAACAGTTCTTCATCAGTCCTCCTTTGTCTTTATTGACTTATTGCTTGCACTGAGTACAGGCAGTTTACTGTCTTGTGTAATCCTTCACCTTGAGTTTCTTTGCTGTTCCCTCATGATGACATTAGTGTTGTGCATTTTGGGTAGGAACACCATGGAAGTGATGCCATGTCCTTCTTAAGGCATCACATCAGAAGACAGTATCTTTGTCTGATTACTGAGGGTATTATGTGGCTCACCTAGAAAAAGTGGTGTTTGCCAAGTTTCTCCAAACTTAGCCCAATTTTAATTGGATTATTTGTATTTTTGCTAATGAGTTTTAAGAGTTCTTTATATATTCTGGATACAAGGCCCTTATCAGATTGTGATTTGCAAGTGCTTCTTCCCATTCTGAGGGTTGTCTTTACTCTTTTGATGGTGTCATTTGCAGCACAGAAGTTTAAAATTGTGTGGCAGTCCAATTTATCTATTTTTCCTTTTGTCTTTTGTGCTTTTGCTGTCATATCTAAGAAGGCTTTGCTTAACTCAAGGTTTTCTATGGTGTTCATGTTTTCTTCTGAGAGTTTTTTTTAATACTTTCAGCTCTTATATTTTGGTCTCTGATCTGTTTTGAGTTCCTTTTGTTTTTTTAAATATGGTATGAGTTAACTTCATTCTTCTGCATGTGGATATGTGGTTGCCCCAGCAAAATTTGTTGAAAAGACTATTTCTTCTCCCGTTGAATGATCTTGGCAGTTTTTTAGAAGATCAGTTGACCATAAATGTAAGCGTTTATTTCTGGACTTTTACTTATATTCCATTGATCTATATGTCTATCCTTATGCTATTACCACATTTTCTTGATGACTATAGCATTGTAATAAGTTGTAAAATCAGGAAATGTGAGGCCTCCAACTTTGTTCTTATTTTTCATGATTGTTTTGACTATTGTGGGTATTTCCACGTCCCTGTGACTTAGGATCAGCTTGTCAATTTCTGCAAAAGAAGGCAGCTAGGGTTTTGGCAGGGATTGCTTTGGATATATAGATCAATTTGCGAAGCATTGCCATCCTAACCACATTAAGTCTTCCATCCCATGAGCATAGTATATCTTTCTGTTTGTCTAGGTCTTCTTTAATTTCTTTCAACAATTTTTGTAGTTTCAGTGTACAAGTCTTATACTTTTATCTTTAAATATATACTTATTTTATTCTTTCTGTTGCTATTATAAGTGGAGTTATTTCCTTAATTTCATTTTCAGATTGTTCATTGCTAGTATATAGAAATACACTTGATTTTTGTATATTGATTTAGTATCCTGCAACCTTGAACTCATTTATTAGTTCTGATAGTTTTTATTGAATTCCTTAGGAATTTCTATATACAAGTTCATGTCATCTGCAGATAGAGCTAGTTATACTTCTTCCTTTCCCACCTAATGTCTTTCTTTATTTTTCTTACCTAACTGTCCTGACTAGACTCTGCAGTATAATGTTGAGTAGAAGTGGCGAGAGCAGACATCCTGATCTTAGGAGAAAAACATCCAGTCTTTCACCATTAAACATGTTATTACCAGTAGCTTTTTCATAGATAACCTTTATCAGGTTGAGGAAGATTCCTTTATTCCTAGTTTGTTGAGCGTTTGCATCATGTAATTTGAGAATATTTAAATTTAGTGTGTATCAGACAATCATTATCACACCATATTTAGAAATCAGACTAAATGTCAGACCAGGGGAGCCTTGGGTCACAATCTTCAATTTAGAGTTGAAAAATGCTGCCAAATATTAGGCAGGACATCCCTTTACTATAAAGTTTACCGTTCTGACCCTCATTGTATCTTCAGTGTCTTTTCTTGCCATACATTTAAATAATTTTTAATTGAGGTGTAATGTACATATAAGTGTAGTGTGTAAAGTGTGATAAGTATGTCACACCCCAGAAGGTGACTCACGCCCCCTCGCAGTCATTAACCCTTCTGCACTGGTAACTATTTTGATTTCTATCACTAGTGGTTACTTTTGCCTCTTCTTAAACTTCAAATACATAGAATCAAGTATGTACTCTTATTTCTCACTCCTTTCCCTTCAATTAATATCTGTGAGATTCAGCCATGATGTAAGTATCAGTTCATCATTTTTATAGCTTTGTAGTGTTCCATTGTGTGAATATATATGGCAGTTTATTCTGTCAAACATTTGAATTGTTTCTAGTTTGGAGCCATTATGAAAAAAATGCTAAGAATACTCTTGTGCTTGCCTTTAGGTAAACATGTTCATTGATTTCTGTACAGTATCTACCTAGGAGTGAAGTTACTGGATTATAGGGTAGGTTTATATTCAGTTTTGGTTGATACTGCCAATAGTTCTCCAAAGTGGTTGTATCAGTTTATACTCCCACCAGCAGCATATGAGAGTTCTCCTTACTCTCCATTCTTAACAACAGTCGATACTGTCTTTTAAATTATATTTATTCTGTTGAGTGCATACTATGTGTCTCCTAAGAAGCCTGACTGTTAGGTTTACCAGCTTTCAATGATTAGAAGAAGCAGAGGTGGGAGGGGTTAGTTAGAGAAAAGAACATTGTAATGTTTTGTGGAAATTATCTTAAAGTATACAGTATTCTTCCCTGCTATCTTAAGGGAGAATACTAAACACAAATCTGAGTCAAATCATTTGTATGCAAATAAACAACTACGTAAGTCTGGGGAGTGGCTGATGTGGCCCAGCAGCATTCGTGAGAAAGATTTGTGACTGATAGTTGACATTAAGCTTCATCGGTGTCAGCAGAATGACGAGGCCACCTTATGCATTTCCTTCTCACCCCTCCCCTTATACTAGACCTTATTTCTCACTAAGAGCTAGAGTGTTGGCAACTCAAGAGGTGATGGTCCCACTATCCTTAGCACTGCTTAAATCATCCCTGCAACATTGGGCTCACGGCCAGACCTGAAGAATAATACAGGGACACTTTTGAAGAATTACCAGTTAGTGAAGTGACTCATAAACGAGTCTTGGGGGAAACGTTGAGGGAAAAAGAAGGAAAGACTTCTAGGGACATAATAAATCTATGTACATTTTTAATGGGCAGTTACATAGAAAGGGGACTAATTTGAAGCAGTCTGTGGATGGGACCCACATGAAAGAAGTCTTAGTTCTCTATAAGTGAAGCATTCCTCGTTGAGTTCCCCAAAGAATGAACTGCCTTGTGAGGTAATGAGTTCTCTGTCAGTGGAGGTGTTCAGGTATCAGTTGGCCAGCCAGTTGGTGGGGATAGTGTATAGAGAGGATTCAAGTATCCCGTGAGTATTTGAACTAGATTAGATAACCAGTAAAGAACCATCTCAAATCAAAGAGTGGAGTGATGGTTCCATAACTTATAAAAGCTTGGTTTATATTTAATCATGGTTTAAGGTAATAAGGTAAAATTAAAGGTAGAGAATAGGAGTGATCTTAACTAGCAACATCTTGGTGTTCTAGGTTTTGCTCTTTGGTCAAAGAGATGATAACCAGTGCAGCGGGCTGTACGGTGGGGCTGGAGGGAGAATCCGAAGGGAACACCTTAGAGGTGAGTCACAGAAGACCTACAACATGGAAGAAGTTATTTATTCTGTCTTTAATACTTAAAGAAAATGTCCTGTTTTTGGTGTGAAAATCCTATATGTATATATTTTTAAATACTCATTTATGAATGAGCTAGCAGTCACTATTCCATGACTTTCAGAGATTAAGTTCAATGCATCTCTGTAGAAAAACCTTACTGCTTTGGGATCCTCTCAACCAGAATGTGTAAGAAAAATTTGGCATGGACTAGACAAAAATTCCCTTTTGTACTCAACCTATGGAAAAGCTTTTTCTAAGCTAATTAATAGTGTTTTTGAGACTGTAAGAGAAAGAGTTGGCAACTAGAAGCAGTGTTTTTCATTTATACCTAAAATGACTTTAGTTACATCTGCTGGCACATAATATATTAAATATGGTAATATTAATATAATTGCTAAGAAAGTAGGATCATCATAGCTCTTTTGGACAGCACAGTGGTAGTCCACAGACAGTACAGCACCATACAGATGTTTCATTCTTGCACAGTTACTCAGGTAACTTGCCACTCATTCAGGTCCTCCAGATGATTGCAGTTTAGTGAGATTTTCGTATACTTTCAAGTTAGGCTGAAATTAATTCTTTGAGGTTTCTTTCGGAAAATATCAAAGGGATTCATTTGAATAATTGAGTCAGGTACTCGAATTCTCAGTTTAGAATCAAAGTTTCTTGTAGAAATGAACTGAGTGATGCACTTTGAAGGTAACAGATGTGGGGACAGGGAAAAGTGGGAGATGAAAGCCTGTTGCGGAGCAGGCTGATGTCTGACTGAATCAGTGATGGGACCTGCTTGTGATCTTAATGGTCCTGAGCATCCCCAGAAGTAGATGGGAAGGGACGCATTCTGTGCGCTTCTGTAAGCAGGCATAGAAAACAATAGAAAGAAACCCTTGCTGCCTCTGCTTTAAATAAATATTGCTCAACCTCGAGTTACATTTGTTTTGATCATTGAGAAGAACCAACTAGAATGCAAGCTGTACAATTTTTGATGATAAGATTGGGGGAATAAAATAGCAATACTGATTACAGGTCAGATTTTGCAGTATGTATTTAATGTTAGATCTGTACATCTAAAAACAGGGGTGGGGCAGTGTATGTACTTTGTATTAAGACAGTTTTCATTTTATTGCCAGGCTATCTATCGAAAGTGGTTGATTTCCTGGCAGGTTGATAAAGGATCATGCAAGAAAGCACCTATTTGGGGTACTTGATCTGCTTAGAAACATTTTTAAATTGCAGCATTAAAGTGGGGAGAAATCTCCCAAAGTTGAGCCCACTGAGTTAGATTTAAGCCATACTTTTAAATTTCTTGCCTTCCATTGCATCATGTTAGGAATGTATGAGTTACTGAGAATTTTACCCCTTTAAAGTAATTATTGAATGAAAAGTACATAACCCAAGAAATGTGACCTGCCAGGTACTCAAATCATGTTATTTATAAATTTTTTAAAAATGTGGGACAAAGTCTGTTTGGGCTTTGACAGGACTTCTCCACCACAAGTTGCATGCTTTTTTATCTTGTTTTTCCTTCCTTAGCATGAGTATGACCATGGTGCGAACGGTGAGACAGTGGTGCTGGGAAAGGGCATGTATGGGATCGTGTATGCTGGGAGAGATCTGAGCAATCAAGTGCAAACATCCATCAAAGAGATTCCAGAGAGAGATAGCAGGCAAGTCGGGGTAGGCCTTCCTTCTGTTGTCACCTCCACACCCCTAATCCCGGGCCCGCCACTGACGGTGCAGAGGCACGAGGAGGAAAGCATTGTGTCATCCAAAAATTTGTCATTCTCGTGTAATAAGGGTGATCTGCCTTTGTTCTCTGCATGCTATTAATAGATTGTAAAAATGGAACAACTTCACTTAGAGGCATGTGGATTGCAGAGTCACGTTTTAAAAGAAGACTGTAGTTTTATTTCCACCCAGCAACTAAATCTGAAGTTTTACATTTTTTTGTAGATACTTGTTTGCATTTTTTTTTGAGATTTTATTTTATTTTATTTATTTTTAAACATTTTTTATTGAGTTATAATCATTTTACAATGTTGTGTCAAATTCCAGTGTGGAGCACAATTTTTCAGTTATACATGAACGTATATACACTCATTGTCACATTTTTTTCACTGTGAGCTACCACAAGATCTTGTATATATTTCCCTGCGCTGTACAGTATAATCTTGTTTATCTGTTCTACATTTTGAACTCCCAGTCTGTCCCTTCCCACCCCCCACCCCCTTGGCAACCACAAGTTTGTATTCTGTGTCTATAAGTGTGTTTGTTTTTTGTATTTATGTTTTGTTTTGTTTTGTTTTTTAGATTCCACATATAAGCGATCTCATATGGTATTTTTCTTTCTCTTTCTGGCTTACTTCACTTAGAATGACATTCTCCAGGATCATCCACGTTGCTGCAAATGGCATTATGTTGTCGGTTTTTGTGGCTGAATAGTATTCCATCATATAAATATACCACATTTTCTTTATCCAGTCATCTGCTGATGGACATTTAGGCTGTTTCCATGTCTTGGCTATTGTAAATAGTGCTGCTATGAACACTGGGGTGCAGGTGTCATTTTGAAGTAGGGTTCCTTCTGGGTATGTTTGCAAATATTTTTAAATGTGACTATGCTTTAATTTACATTGTACCCATTTTAAACGGCTATTATTTTTTCAGATGTATCATAGAAAATTAAATGTGGTAAAAAGAAAAATAAGCTTTTTGTAATACGGACTTTTTTGTATACCCTGCCATCCTAGATTTGGGGCTATTTTTTTAAACCCTCAGTACTACCAATTTATTTATTCCACATTTTTTAGAGTCTGATGAAATGTTTATTCCTTTTTAAATTCATACCCCACCCAATTCTAAACTAGAACGTATTGACTGTCAGGTGTTTTTGTAGAGAAGCTTCATACACAGTAATGGCCACAGTATAAGGAGTAATAGCTCCGTGCTCCAAAGGAGTGCTCAGACCACATCTGCAGCGTTGCCTTCAGTGCTGGATGCTGATGGGCGTGTGCAAACATCCTTCCATCCAGGTAGCCAGTGAATTATTAGGATGGGTTACAAGTGATTTCTGGCAGCTGTAAGACCCTTCATCATTCCTTTGTTCATTCGTCCACTCATTCCTTCATTCACTTTTAATGAAATTGCATGTTACAGTATTTGAATCATAAGGCAAGGCCTGAGATGAACTCATCCAACTTCTTCCAAGGCTCAGAAGGTTAAATGACTTCTCCAAGGATGTGTAGAAACAAGACTGGGATCCAGTCTCGAATTCCTTGTCCAGTATCGTGTCTCTTATTCTCAGGATGGATAAGGTGTTGCAGTTTTCTGTTGGGGGAAATTTCTCGCATCTACCACCTCCTTCAATGGGCTGTAACCATTGTTTCAGCTTTTCATTGCTGATAGTTGTTCCTGGGATTTTAGGGCTAGAAGGGACCTTAGAGACTGTTTTGTCCCATTCCCTAAATTTACAGGCTGAACTTATGATATTGGTCACCCTCCCAGATTCTGGGCTGGCACTAGAAACTGAAATGTGACTAGGATATGGTCCTTATCTTAGGGTGCTCCCAGTTTGGTGGGGAATGCACATACCTTGCCTAGGTGTCAAGATGACAAGTGCTGTAATAGAGAAGTTCCCAGAGTGTGTGTAGAACATAGGAGAGGAGTGAATTACTTTTTCTAGTTGAGTTGCGGCAAGTTGGAAAAAATAAGCCATCTTTGAGCTGGCCTTTGAGGGATGAATAGGAGTTCATCTGGCCGAAAAGAAGGCCAGAGCATTCTCTGCTGAGGGAAAACAGAGCTGTTAAGCACAGAGTGTATTCAGAGAACAACAAATTGTCATGACATGAATGTAGGATATGAGGCAGTGTGGGGGGGGGATGCTCTTGAGATGAGGCAAACATTTTTAAAGATGTAGTCTGATCTGAGTTTGAAAGTCCTTGTGTGCCATGTTAAGCAATATGGTCTTTATATGGACTTCATGAAAGGAAGTGATATGTGGTGTGTGTTTTGGAAAGAGGGAATATAGTGGCCAGGGGAGAATAGACTGAGGAGGCCAGAGGCTGAGGCTAGAAGGCCCATTAGGTGGCTGTTGCTGTAGTCTGGAGTCTGTGGAATGAGACTAGAAGACAGCTGAGGACAGAACCTTGTAGAACTCCCTTCATGGGAGAACAGAGGAAAAAGGGCTGTTGAGAGAGACCAAGTATGAGTAGGGGGGGGGTTCAGGCCCTAACAGTAGCGATAGTAATAGCAGTAGCCATTCATTGGGTTAACCTCCCACACACCAGGCGCTCCACTGGGAGCCTGAGAGACTCGGCACACTTTGGCCCCCAGCAGCCCTGCGTGGCTGGTATTATTAACCCCTGTTTTACACATGGTAAGCTGAGTAGTGTCATGGGAGCCAAAGGAGAGAACGTTTCCAGCAAGAAGGGATGGCCAGCAGGTACTGGCGAGGTGCGACATGGAGCCCAAGCCCCCAGGTTTGGCAGGTGGCACTGGCTTTGTTTTTCCTCCCAGGTACTCCCAGCCGCTGCACGAGGAGATAGCCCTGCACAAGTACCTCAAGCACCGCAGTGTTGTTCAGTACCTGGGCTCTGTGTCCTAGCACGGCTACATTAATATATTTATGGAGCAGGTGCTTGGGGGTGAGTGGTCACTGGTTTTCTGGTCTCACCTTGTGAAAATCACTGATGAAAATAGGATATGAACATCATGATCCATCCTGTCATTAAAAAATGACAGACATTTTAGGTATGGGAGAGCATTTGTTTCTCACAGGAGTTGGATACAAATTTTCCAATGTCACAGAAACAGTCTGTTCCTGGTCTGGTGATTCAATCATCAAATATTCATGGAGGATCTACTGAGCGCCAGCTGCTGGGCCGAGCGCCGGAGACATAGAGATGAATAAACCATGGTCTCTGGCCTTGAGGCCTTCACAGTCTGTGAGCTGAAATATGGTTTGGAGAAGTGAGGACAGAGGGCTTTTTTAGATGACATCACGAAATAACATGTTGATGGTGAAATTGAACACCAGTGGTTTATCCGTAAAATCCCCGAAAGGAGGCAGTAGGGTGCAGGAGTAAGAGTTCCTCAGATCTGGAGCCGGACCATCTTGTTTGAATTGGTCCCTCCATCTGCAAGCTGTGTGATCTCAGGCTTCTTATTGAAGAGATGAATTGTAAAACTGGAGTAGTCATTACTACGGTAATCGGAGTGGTAATAATAATGGGAGTAATCTTCCTAGGGTAAATGAGACAGTGTATATAAAGCTCTTAAAACGGTGCCTGGCAGAGGGCAAGAGCTCAGGAAGTGCTCATTTAAGAAAATAATGGTAAAATTAATAAAAATCTGAATGCAGATGTAAAGGCTTCAGTTAGAAATCTGTATTCATTCATTCAACCCACAGTTATTCAGCCTACCATTCCATTAAAAAGCCTAACTGTATATCTTAAGAGATGAGCAGTGAGCTAGATTTTGAGGGTTATATGAAAGATCAAGTACAGTTTCTTCTTTCCTCAAGTTGCTCATAGTCTAGCAGAAAATATGAATTGATATTCCAGACATGAGTTCTGAGGATGACAACAGAGTTGGAGATAGATGTGCCACCCCCCTTTTATAGAGGTTCCACGGCAACAGAAGGGCGTAAGGGTGAAGCCGAGACTAGCTGATGCCGAGGGCCTGGGTGATGATCTCTGAAACACATGGTCAGAATGCAGGGAAGGGAGGTTTTCTTCTGGCCCAAAGGTTCAATGTTTAATAGTATAATTGGGGTGGTGGCAGGGAGAAGGGTAGGGGATGTTGTTAAGACAGTCCTGCTGCCGGGACCTGGCATTGGGAGCTTCTCACAGTAAGGACAGAGAGCCCCAACCTCCTCCTCTCCTGGTCCCTGTCTCCCTAAAGGGCCCCTCGCTCTGGTCCTATCTGCCTCTGATTTCAAGGTGAGGTATAGAATGTGGCTTTGACCCAAGCCGAATGGCTGAAACGGTTGTGCAAGGTCTACAGTGTCAGGCCAGCCCTCCCCAGTTCAGAGCAGTATTGCGCTCTCTTCCTGATTCTGTGCAGTTAAACAGAGCTGAGCCCAAAGGTGGCCCGACCGTGTTTCAGGGGTCACAAGGGGTTCCTTTCCACCTTCCACCTCTGATGAGGGTGATGTGCTCATTCACCGCCAGTCCCTTCTCTGGCTGAGCTGCTCGCGTGTCTGAGAACAGGCAACAGAGAGGGAGGAAAGAGATTTCATGTAGCCCAGATACAGTGATGTGAGCGCGAGTGCTTACATTGGGTTAGAAACGTCACTTCACTTTATTTCCCTGAACCCTTATCGTTGAATCTTCATCGCCGTCATGAGTTTTCTGCTGTGTCCATTTCCAGGAAGCCTTTCTGCTGTTTTGTGATCAAAATGGGAGCCAATGAAGAAGCCTATCATCAAGTTTTACATCAAGCAGATCCTGGAAGGCCTCAAGTATCTCCATGAAAACCAGATTGTGCACAGAGACAGAAAGGTACTTGTCTGAGCCACTGAGGTTTTGCTGGGGCATCTCGGATCACGCAAGCTGCTGGCAGTGTCTGCAGGTTGACCAGTTCACAGAATGGCGAGGATTGAGCCTGACAGTCCCCAGAGCACAGAATTTAGCCTTCATAGAGATTCATGACCATTTGTTACGATCCAGATCTGTTATATGTTAGTCTATTTAAATCTGTCTTTAAGGATTTGATGTTCTTCCTTTTCTAAAGGGTGATAACGTTCTGGTGAATACCTACAGCGGAGTGGTGAAAATCTCTGATTTTGGAACCTCTAAACATCTTGCAGGAGTGAATCCATGTATGTAGACTTTTGCTGGTAGGCAGAACAGAGCTTAGCATGAGGTGCCCATCCTGGTGTTAGGCTTGCTGGAGCTGCAGTCCTTTGAGAGTTACTCACTGAGCACCTGAGTGCAGTGTGGGCAATTGGTAACTGAAGTAAATGGTATATTGTCCTCAGCTTTAAAGCGTTTGAACTCTGGCATAATGATGCATTTTGCCAGCTCCTTGTGGCAACGACACTGCCTTACATTCTTCTTTGTCTTCCAAGGTTGAGTAGGTGTTGTGATCTGCTTGAGGTTTTCTGAGGGTTTCTAACCAATTAGCCAAACGGCAGCATCTCTTTTAAATTAATAGCACATTATTCAGAATCGTGGGTAATTCCAAATAACAGGTATACTCAGACAATTTATTAGGACATTTGATTGGTCTTTTATAAAAATAGCCTGTTACTTTAATTAATTCTGGTGCCTTGTGTTTTTGGTATGATTATGTTTCCAAGAGAGTCTCATTCTTCTGGGAAATATGGTATTCTAAGTGGGTTTGAGCCATTGGGTTTTCTTTTCCATTTGTCAGTGATGGAATCAATTAAGTATTGAGAGGGACTGGATTCAAAGAGTGGTATAAAATTGCCAGCTAGCTTTCCATTTACACTACCAGGGAGTAGAATGATGCTCAAAAGCTACCTTTGGCTTTTTCAAATTTCTGCCTAAAAGTGAAACAGAAACTTTGATCCTTGGAAAGAAGCACTGACTTTGAATAAGTAAAGGTTTATGGTCCCCTAAGTTTCAAGGAAAGGATCACAAAGATCTTGCTTGATAAAATTAAGAAACAGTGCTTATAATAGTATAGCTCTGAAATAAGCTGTATGAGACGGATGACTATTTTCTATCTCTGTAGCACCAAACTGTAGCGTGGACAGCCTTGGCATCAGTTTTCGTAAATAATGTCTCAGCTTTGAAAGACTTTTCTTCAACAAGCAACTTGTATGTCAGCCACTGGACACCCATAGTGAAGACTCATTCCCTTTCTAAATGGAACTTGTATGCATCAGAAATGACTTCTCAGTCGTAACACCAAGGGAAGTACATGCCCCTCAAAATGGGAAAATATTCCACCAAGGACCCGACCAGAATCTCCCAAAGAGTGTATTGAACTTTCATTCATTGTTTCTGATGTAAATATACATGTATCAGCACGTATATGTCAGTGAGTATGCATGTGTATATATACACATACGTATGTATGCCCAGTATATTTTTTTCACTAGCCTAACTGAAAATGACTTATACCCTTCTCTTTGGAAGCCACCAATTAGCTTGGCAATAGGTAGCAAGAGGGGCTCTGATATGACAAGGAGTTATTTCAAGATATAAACCCCCCAACAATTTATCATAATTAGCATCTCCAAGGAGAAAAAAATTCATAAGAAAAACGCATGTATAATTCATTATTGCATATCACATTTTCCCAAGTAATTGGCTTGAGGAGGCATGAATTTTGCATTGCAAAATAATGCAGGGGTGTTTGGGGGATAATAAAGAAGGGGTCTCATTTTGGGTAGGAAATTCCCCTGCATGTAATTACTCTTTGCAAAACAGAGCAGTTCTGTAAAGAAATTTCAGCTGCTCAGTGCAAAACTCCGATTGGGTGCAGGTGGACATGGTGGGGCGTTTCCACGCAAATGCCTGGAGGCTGTCAGAGCCTGGAAGGGAGAGACAAAGTCTTCAGGCAACTTCTTGGCCCGAGATCCTCCCATCCTGTTTCCTCCAAAGGGTTTTCCCCATAGGTGTAAACAGGCCAGAACAGGAGGAAGGGCCCTTATGGCCAGGGTCAGCCCCCTTTGCTTTTGGTTTTGCAACAGCTTTATTGAGGTTTAACTTACGCATCATAAAATGTACCTATTCAAAGTGCCAATTTCAGTGGTTTCTGGTAGATTTTCCAAGTTGTACAGCCATCGCCACAATCCAGTTTTTGACTGTTTTCCATCACCCCAAAAAGGTGTCACCTTGCAGTCTGCCCCCATGCTCTTCCCAGCCCCCAGCAGCCGCTGATCTACTCTCTGTATAGACTTTCCTGCTCTGGAGATTTCATATAGATGGAATGATACAATGTGTGACCTTTGTATCCAGCTACTTACACCTCACATAATCTTTTCGAGGTTCACCTGTGCTGAGGTGTGTATCAGTACTTCATTCTTTTTCTGGCTGAATAGTATTCCATTGTATAGACCACATTTTGTTTTCTCATCTGTCAGTTAATGGTCATTTGGATTGTTTCCCCTTTTTGGCTGTTGTGAATGATACTGCCGTGAACATTCACATACAAGCCTTCATGTGAACACATGTTTTCATCTCTCTTTGGTAGATACCCGAAGTGGAACTCGGGACGGGACCTCTGTTCTGATCTACGGCTGTAAACAGCCTTGGTTCAAATTGTGGCTCAACCACTTGCAAGCTGTGTGACCTTGGGCATGTTACTTAACCTCTCTGTGTCTCAGTTTCTTCATAAGTAAAACAGAGATAATCATAATACCTACTTCATAGGGTTTTTATGTGGATTAAATGAGTTAATATTGATGAAGTGCTTTAACCAGTACCTGGTTTATAGCAAGTACAGCCGAAGTCTGTGTTAATTAAATAAATGCTAATTTGCACTTAGAAGTCACAGGTTGTTAGAGTTGGCAGGAGTTTTTGAGAGAATCGAGTTTATGTGCATAACTAACATGTTGAACCTGTCAGACTCAAAGGGTGTAATTTTTATTTTTATTTTTATTTTTGTCTCCCACGGCCCTTTCCATCCTGCTCACGGAAGTAATCCTTTCCATGACTTTTCCAGTCACCCTGAGATAACAAAGAGTAAGTCTTAATGGCACCGCGAAAAGCAAACGCAATGTGAATCCAGTCATTGAAAGGGTCCCGGCTGATACACAGGCGTACCTCCCATGTAATTGCGCTTGGCTTTACTGCGCTTCACAGATCCTGCATTTCTTACAAATTGAAGGTCTGTGGCAACCCTGCGTTGTTTGATGATGGTCAGCATGTTTTTAGCGATAAAGCATTGTTTAATTAAGGTATGTACCTTATTTTTTAGACATAACGCTCCTGCACACTTAATAGACCACAGTATAGTGTGAGCATAACTTTTATATACACTGGGAAACCAAAAAATTCATGTGACTCGCTTTATTGCCAAATGCACTTTATTGTGGTCTGGAACTGAACCCGCGGTATCTCTGGGGTCTGCCTGTGCTCATCAGCACACTGGTCCTCATTCGAGGGGCAGACTCCTCTCCCCTGCCCCTGCTGGCTTTGTGGCAGGCAGCCGGGGAGTCGGGGTGTCGGCCCTTCCTCCCTCCCTCGCCTCCTTCCCTACTCACCAGCTGCGGGTAGGAGAGGACAGGGGGACAGAAAGTTGTCACTTGACTCGCACCGTTCTAGGCTGGTTTCCTGTACTCTTGGCCTGGCTGATGGTTGCTGTTACCTTTTTGCTGCCGGATCCCTCTGAATACAATTCCCAGGTCGTGGGCAGGGGCCTGACCTTTGGCTGACCGCCCCCAACCCCCTCACCCTGATCTTTTACCCTGCATGCTGTACCTACCCCTCCATCTTTTCATACTGAGGGAACCAAGCCCTGGAAGGCTATCTTTGGGCAGGATTCCTTTTTAAAAGACCCTAAAGTGGTATTTCTGCAATTAGAATCTGGTGTCCAAGATTCATGCATCTTTCACCCCCATCAAGAGGATGTGGTGATGTCCCCAGACCATATGGGTCCCACTCTGCTGCTGTCAGCTGCTTTTGCTCCCATGGGGACCATGTGCAGCTGCTTTGCAGGGGACACATTCATGTGGAGCTCTGAGTGGGCCCAGTGGGGATGGGCTCTGGGTTAGGAGGAAGTCGTGGCCCCTCCCTCCAGGCCCATCTCTTGGACAGGGCAACCGGGGTGGCCCTGGGACCATGGAAAGCTGCACCTTACTTCTCTTCTTGCTACTTCATTAATATGAAATTTGGAAACTTTGGGCTCTAACGCTCTCTCAAGAGGCCTATAGAAGATGCTAACATGTGTGGCCTCCTTTCAAGTGCATTTATCCTGAGTGGATATTGAGTTTCTTGAGCCGCCATGGGCCCGCACCCTTCTGGGGACAGCCCTTCCCTGACTTCTGTAACTAGAGAGGGTAGACCTCCTAGCACAGCTGTCTAAAGAAGTTGCTTTCAGCCTCCCCCTTCCAGTCCCTCTCTCAGCCCTTTTAAACCTTGATCTGGTGGGAGACCCCAGGGCTAGGGGCCCATGTGTTGTGTAACCAGTTATTTGAGGCCCCCATAGAAACATGCGTCTGTGGTTTCTCTTTCACCCCTTTCCTTGGTATCTGGGTCATATCTTGGCACCTCAGTCATAACTCCTGAGTTATTGTCCTGTGCCATGTCTGTTCTTTGCTGATAATGTGAAAAACTTGCTTGGACAATTGTCCTGGAGACCGCAATGGATCTCATGTCCCAAGGGGATTGGGTTGACACCTGTGGGTCTCCTGCCTTGTTTTGAACTCTGCATCGCTGCACCTTAGGGCCAAGGCTGGCTGGCTGGCTGATTGAGGGACCAGTGTGGTGGGCATACCCTGGGGGAAATGCAGTTTACGAAAGACATGAAACCCCTAAGAGAGCCAGATTTAAGCAAATTTCCCGGGATTTCTCCATTCACTTGCCCCCCATGACGTCCTCACTTGGGTTTCTCTGCAGAAGCCAGCCTTTAGTACAGCTGATACACACCCACAATGTGCACACTGCCTGGAGATGGAACCTCGGCTCTGGGAAATAGTTGTGTGGATCCGGCTCTCTTTGTTGGGCTGCTTGCTGTGAGTGGACAGTTTCCCTAAGAATATAGTAGTAAATAAAACGGAGCAGCCAGTTTTCCATGACTGCTCTACACCTCCCAATTATATGGCTAGAAGTCACATTATGGCTACAACCCACATCCCTAGGGCTTGGGGGAGCAAAGAGGAGGGTGGCAGTCACACCTTTCAGGAGGGGGCGCCACTGGGCTGGAGCAGGTAACTCTGAACGGGGCAAGATGAGGCTGGTTCTGGTAGTATGAGGGGGGTTGAAAAAAAAAAGCTGAAAATGAGCCAAGTGCTGCTATTGGAACCAACTGAGGGTCCAAAGTGAGGCTTGCTTAGAAGAAAGTGAGCAGGCAGGAAGGAGCTAGCAGCCCCTCCTTCTTGGCGCTTGTGCACGTGCACTCTTGTCTCTCCTCCAACCCAGCCGCCTAGTGGCGGACGCCGGGCAGAAGTGTAGTTTGCAGAATCCCAGAGCTGGTGTGGCAGAGCCGAGAGATAACAGCTTAATAAACAGCGCTGTCAAGTCTTCTTAGTTAATGATTTATGGGTTAGTTAGAAGGCACATTCCCTGCCAAGGCCTCTCTCTGTGTTGTTCATGGTAGTAGGAGCCTGTAGGGGATATTGTGTCACTGGAAGTTCCCTTCCTGGGGCGCTGAGATCTCCTAACACTGCAGCAGGCGCCGCGAGCCTCCAGCTTGTCCAGCCCTGCAGCCAACTGAGCACTTCCGCACCAGGCTTTCAGCTCCGGACCCCAAAGCTGTCATTTTTGCCTTGCTCATCTCTTGCACTCACTGATGCAACCCGATTTACATTTAACTTTAAATGAGGAAGAATTAAGTAAAATTGAAGGTTTTAAAAAATTGTTAATTGTCTTCAGTCTCACCAGTCACATTTCAAGAGCCCAACAGTCATATGTGGCTAGTGGCTACCATACTGAACTGCACAGAACAGAACATTTCCATTGTTATAGAACATCCTACTGGTCAGAGCTGTTCTAGAGCCTTTAAAATCCTTACAGGAAAGAAAAATGCTGGTAAGACATTGGATCTTTCAGAGGAGCAGGTAGTAGGTGGCATCTCCAAACTTATTTTAACCAATGGGCCTTTTTTGGTCATTCATCAGGACTCAGGAAACCTGCTTTGGTTGTGTGATCTTGAGACAGGCACTGGAATGTCTCTGGGCATCAGTGTTCTATATTCACACCTTGGCCACTATCATCTCTGAGTTTGCTGTTCATTATAAACCTCTTTGCCAGCACATAGCATCTGCTACTGTTGCTTCCACATTTCCCCTTTCCCCTTTCTTCAGGCTTAGTTTCAAAGAAAACCAAAGATCTTATTCCCAGAGCCTTTGATTGACCTCCCTGCCCCATCGCTCCAATAACCCTTTCTCCTCTACATACAGTATCTGATCATCATCTTCCCTGTGGCAACCTCTGGTGGCTCGTGATCCACAGGAGAAAGTCCAAAGCCAGAGCCTTCAGAACACAGTTTGCCATTTGGGCTGCACCCAGGTCACTGCCTCCTTCATTTTTGCACCCCCTGCCTTATGTCAAACATGGCTCCCGTCTCCCCAGAATCACTCTATACTTCACACCCACAGGCCTTGGCTAGAGCTCTTCCACTTTCCTAGAAGTCTTCCTATTCCTTTGTCTAGGTCTTCGAGCTTCATGGCAGGTGTCTACTTCACTGGCAGCCCCAGCCACCACTTGTTTGGGTCGGCCACCACGCTTGTGGCAAGATCACGCTTTGCCCTGCCTGCTCTTGGCCAGTGAGTGAGCATGGTGGGATACTAGAACCCTTGTGACACTCTTCCAATGAACAGGGCTTCCCTGGTGGCCTGGCTAAAGCTGTCTCAGAGCTGCTCTGCCACCTGAGACTCTTCCTTCCCCCTTCCTTTTGCAGGTGCCAGACCTGCATTGGGGTCTGACAGCTCTCCCTGCCCCGCCTGCTCTTGCCCCCTTTATCCTTTGTATACCTTCTCCCCAGTACATCTCTGGTATGTGTAATTCTGTCTTGGTATTTATTTCTCAGAGACTCAAACTGACACAGCTAGAGCTTCCCCTGACTCAAACCAGGCAGAATCTAGCACTTTTCCATCCATGTTGTTGGTGCCCTCTGTGTATACCTCTTAGAACACTTACTACATTTCACCATCACCACTGCCACCCTCGTCATCGCCACCATCATCATGTCTGTCTTCTCCATTAGGCAGCTTGTAAAGGTCAGGCACTGTGTTTCTTATATTGTGGTTTCCCTCTATTTGCCATGCAGTAATATGTGTTTATGGAATTGGATTGGTCCCACTTATCCTTTGAGGATCTAAGGAATCTTCTCTCAATGTGACTAGTATTAAATGCCTTTAATGGAAAGCATGTTGTATGTCTCTGGTCAAAGAAAAGATGCAACGACATCATTTATGCATGAGCCCAGACCCCATCTGTCATTAATATGAGAGTTAAAGTTCACACACTTATTTACTAATGGTCCTCTTAGGTTTTATTTATTTAAGTGCATTAACTTTTTTTTTTTTTTAACTGAAGCACAGTCAGTTACAATGTGTCAATTTCTGGTGTACAGCACAATGCCCCAGTCATGCATATACATACATATATTTGTTTTCATATTTTTTCATTAAAGGTTATTATAAGATATTGAATATAGTTCCCTGTGCTATACAGTATGAACTTCTTTTTTACTTTATATATATTAGTATCTGCAAATCTCAAGCTACCAATTTATCACTTCCCACCCCCTTCTCCCCCTGGTAACCGTAAGTTTGTTTTCTATGTCTGTGAGTCTGTTTCTGTTTTGTAAATAAGTTCATTTGTCTTTTTCTTTTAGATTCCACATATAAGTGATATCATATGGTATTTTTCTTTCTCTTTCTGGCATACTTCACTTAGAATGATGATCTCCAGGTCCATCCATGTTGCTGCAAGTGGCATTATTTTATTCCTTTTTATGGCGGAGTAGTCTTCCATTGCATAAATATACCACAACTTCGTTATCCAGTCATCTGTTGATGGACATTTAGGTTGTTTCCATGTCTTGGCTATTGTAAATAGTGCTGCTATGAACACTGGGGTGCATGTATCTCTTTCAGTTAAGGTTCCCTCCAGATATGTACCCAGGAGTGGAATTGCTGGATCATATGGTAAGTCTGTGTTTAGTCTTTTGAGGAATCTCCATACTGTTTTCCATAATGGCTGCAGCAAACTCCATTCCCACCCGCAGCATAGGAGGGTTCCCTTTCCTCCACAGCCTCTCCAGCAGTTACCGTTTGTGGACTTTTGAATGATGGCCATTCTGACTGGTGTGAGGGGATACCTCATTGTAGTTTTGATTTGCATTTCTCTGATAATTTGTGATACTGAGCATTTTTTTCATGTGTCTATTGGCCATTCGTATGTCTTCATTGGAGAAATGCTAGTTTAGGTCTTCTGCCCGTTTATGGATTGGGTTGTTTGGTTTTTTGTTATTAAGTTGTAGGATCTGTTTATATATTCTGGAAATGAAGCCCTTGTAAGTCTCATCTTTGCAAATATTTTCTCCCATTCCATAGGTTGTCGTTTTGTTTTGCTTGTGGTTTCCTTTGCTGTGCCAAAGCTTATAAGTCTAATTAGGTCCCATTTGTTTAGTTTTGCTTTTATTTCTATTGCCTGGGAAGACTGCCCTAGGAGAACATTGCTTAAATTTATGTTGGATAATGTTTTTGCTTATGTTTTCTTCTAGGAGGTTTATCATGTCTTGTTTTATATTTAAGTCTTTGAGCCTTTTTGAGTTTATTTTTGTGTACAGTGTGAGGGAGTATTCTAACTTCATTGATTTACATGCTGCTGTCCAGTTTTCCTAATACCATTTGCTGAAGAGACTGTCTTTTCTCCATTGTATATTCTTGCTTCTTTTGTTGAAGATTAATTGACTGTAAGTCTGTGGGTTTACCTCTGGGCTCTCTGTTATGTTCCAGTGATCCATATGTCTGTTTTTATTGCCAATACCATGCTGTTTTGATTACTGTAGCTCTGTAGTATCGTCTGAAGTCTGGGAGGGTTATTCCTCTAGCTTCATTCTTTTTTGTCCATATTGCTTTGGCAATTCTGGGCCTTTTGTGATTCCATATAAATTTTAGCATTGTTTGTTCTAGTTTTGTGAAAAATGTCCTGGGTAATTTGATAGGGATTGCTTTAAAGCTATAGATTGCCTTGGGCAGTGTGTGCATTTTAACAGTATTGATTCTTCCAATCCAAGAGCATGGGATATCTTTCTATTTCTTTAAGACATTTTTAATTTCCTCTATCAGTGTTTTGTAGTTCTCCATGTTGAAGTCTTTCACCTCCTTGATCAGCCCCTTAGGTTTTAAACAAGATGGTGCCCATGATCTTTCATTTTTTCCCAGTAGGCACTCTGCAGTACATGGCGCCCAAAATTATTGATCAAGGATCTTGTGGATGTGGTGCCCCAGCTGGTATCTGGTCCCTGGGCTGCCCTGTCATTGAAATGGCCACCAGCAGACCTCCGTTCCGTGAGCTCGGTGAACCACAGGCAGCAGTGTTCAAAGTAAGACATCTCTGGTGATTTAGGTTGCTGGTGTTGGGGAAATAGAATTAAAATCAGAAATCTCCCAGTCCAGAAATCTCTCCCCAGAGGTGAAAGGGAAAGAAAACAGTGTATTATTGAATAAGCATGAAATCAGAAGGTGATGTGCATGACAGGCAAACTGCTAATAGCCCGGAAAGGCAGAACTCTCGGCCTTCCCTACAGCCAAGCAGATACAACGCTTTACGTCCATGTTCGCAAGAGAGCTGCTATTACTCAGGTGCAAGGACTAGACAGCACCACCGGTCACAGTAGTTCATCTGAGATTCCCCTGGTAACTGGGGTGACCATTAGTGTTAGCTAATCGGCTTTACCCAGAGGAAAAATCAACCTCTCAAATCTTTAGGACGGGAGGTAGTTTTGGAGTCAGGCTCCACTGAAGTTAGGCTCCTGCCCTCCCACAGAAACCCCCAAACTGGGGCGCTGTCTGCCCTGATGATGACATTTCAAAGGGATGGCCCCCTGGTCCTTGAGAAAGGCACTTCTGGCAAGAGGCTTATTTAGCTTTTAAAAAGATTCACATACATCTCAAAGAGACGTAAGAAAGGTGTGTGGGGAGGTCTCTTCCTTTATTTCCAACCAGGACAATTAAACTTCTTAGTTAATTTGTATTTGCTTTTACACTGTAAGGCTCAGAGGTCACATGGGTCTGTGTCTTTAGAGGACACGCTTCTGACTAGATTTGGAGAGAGGGAACTTTGAGTATTAGATACTGTCTCCTTTGTCCTTCTGAAAACCTTCCCAGAGCTGACAGGAAGGGTGACCTGGGTGTTGAGGCCCACGTGGGACTGAATGGCCGTCCCGGTCGGGGGTTACGCTGGGCACGCTCCCTAGGGAAGGGACACGCATGCTTGCCACCCCGAGGGAAGCTGATGCCAGGGCAGCCCAGTGTGTCCAAGGCCGGGTGTGCAGCTTGGGGCTCCCTGGATGCTTGGAGAAGTTGAAGAGCAGCTGTAGCCTTTCAGAGCCTGTTACCAGCACTGAGAACCTTCTGAAGAGCACTTTTGTTTGGCCCAAAGCTAAGAAGGAAGAGAGTAGAGTCACAAAAGGCCAAATGGCCACATTTCTGGATGACAAGGTCGCAGCGCATGGAAGCAGCCTGATAGAACGTCGTTCCAGAGGCCTTGCTTCTGGCTTCTCTGCCAAGCGCTCCTCTGCCCAGCCGCTGCAGAAGGTTCTCCAAGCTTCCCAGCCTCCCAGAAGCTGTCAGGTCACCCCAAAGCCAAGACCTCAAGTCGACAAGTGTCTCCTAGAGCCTGCAATCCAACAAGACCCTGAACACCAGGGCTGGTGGACAGCAGTGACCTCCCAGCCTGTCAGTGTCTGTCCAGGACGCAGCCAGCTGGGGCCAGCAAAGGTCTTCGTGCAGCTTCAGTCACAGGTCTCAGAATAAATGCCAGCTGGTGCCGGGGAAACGCCGGGGCCCCCGAGAGCCGTGGCTGCTGCTCTCTGGTCTGCTGCCAACTCCTGCCACACTCCAGACACCCATCTGGAGGCTGTGACTCCTCAGTTGGTCCACAGGGCCCGAGCGGCTCCCCTGGCCCTCTTCCTCGCTCTTGTGTTTGGTTAGCTAGTTAGCGATGCAGGTGCTTTTGGATGGTATGTCAAGTCTATTTTTATTGCAAACTCAAAAGCTGTTCTTAAGTAAATAACGCCCCGTGTGTCCTCTTTGCAAAGACTATAGAAATTATTTCTGGAAACTCTAGAATCCTTCAGAAAATTTCAAGAGTCTTGTGGGCAGCATCTGAAACAGGGAACTGTCTTTCTCCCAAAGGGGCTGTTATGGATTGAATTGTGTCCCCCTCCCCGGAAAAAGATATTTTGGAGTTGTTACCCCAGTACCTCAGAATTTGACCTTCTTTGGAAATAGGATCTTTGCAGAGATAATCATACTGGCCCTAATCTAGCAGAACTGTTATCTTCCTAAAAGGCAGAATCTGGGACACAGAGCTAGACACAGAGAGGTGTCATGGAGAGACACAGGGAGGACATGGCCACGTGGAGGCAGAGATGGGAGTGACACATCTAGAAGCGAGCCAGCAGAGCTAGGAAGAGGCGAGGAAGAATTCCCCTGCAGGTTTCCGAGGGAGTGTGGCCCTGTCAGCACCTTGATTTTGGACTTCCAGCGTCCAGAACTGTGAGATAGTACATTTGCCTTGTTTGACGCCACCCAGTTTGTGGCAGCCCTAAGAAACACCTGTAAAAGTAACGTGCTTGCAGGGTGCTGGGGTGGTGCCCACGTTTGCTCTTTTCTTTCCAAGAGCCAGGGGAGATGCTCCCCGTTTCCTCTTAGAGTTTTTGTCCGGAGTTTTTGTCTCTGGCCCCCCTCAGGTGAGAGGTGCCACTTGGAACGTGCCCTGCATTTCAGGTCTTAGGGGTTGAAACATGCAGTGTTTAGTGTCTCAAAATCCACAACTTGTTTTCAAAAATTGTTACATGATTGTAGTAAGAACACTTAACATGAGATCGACCCTTGACGATTTTTTTAAGTGCGTAATTACAGTATTGTTGACTGAAGGTACATCAGATCGCTAGAACTTCTTCATCTGATTTAACTGAAACTTGTGCTTGTTGAATAGTAATGCCCCCCTCCTCCTCTCCTCAATCCCAAACTCGCGAGCTGTCGGTCCTGCCCACGAGGAGCAGCGGGTCAGAAACGGTGGGTGTGCCCCTGGGAGATGGACTTTAGGTGGTGAAGTTGGAGGCTTGCCGTCCCCTCTTGGCAGTGCCCTGTTCTCACTGAGGGGGCAGAGGATGCCTCGCCAGCCCCATGGTTGTCGAGGGGCTGGGAATGGGTGGATCTGCAGGACAGAATGGCTGCTGCTCCTGGCTTATTGAGTGGGCTTGGAAAAGACAAGACTGCAAACTTTAAGGATGACAACTGCTCAGATGACTAGAGAGCCACCCACCCCTGATGGGAGCAGTTACACGGGTGGGGGTTATGCAGGATGGATGAGCACTCTCATGTCACAGTGAGATGTGACAACTCATCCCAACTCCTGCTCCCCTACAGGTCGCAGGGACAGGGAGCCTGTAGTAGGAGAATGATGAGCTAGCCAGAAGTGGAAGCTGAAGCAGAAATTGTAGCAGAAGCCCGAGCAGGAAAGGGCAGTGCCCCCCTCCCTCGCCGGTTGTACCCCATGGGGATGAGGGTGTGGGCTGTGAGTTAGCAGCCTCCAGGTTTGGTCTGCTTGTGGTTTACAGCTGTAGGTTGGAGATTTGGGCTGTGAATGCAGAGACTGAGAGGTGTGTCGGATGTCTTTTGGAGACCCTGGGTATCAGAGAGCAGATCTCAGGTGCCTTTGAACACCCTTAGAGCATCGTGTTACAGGCTGTGGTCCAAGCCTCATCTCAGTTCTCTTTTGCTGCACACCCAACCACCCCAAAACTGCAGAGGCTTCAAACGATCACCTTTGATTTCTCACAAATCTGTGTGCTGATGGTCGGCTCTTCCACTGCTCTTGCCTGGACTCACTTGTGGTGGTGGCTTGACTGCGGCGTGATGCTCTTGGAGGGCCACTTGCACGTGGTGACCCTTCATCCTGGGTGTCTTCCCTGCCTGTTGGTCTCAGGGCTTCAAGAGGACTAGAGTAGAAGCCCCGAGGCTTCTTAAGGTCTAGGCTCTGAGAGCCCCCCAGTATCACTTCCCCCACGATCAAGTGGGCAGAGTCTCTAGAGGGCAGCCAGGGCCCGAGTCATTGAGGCCGTTATTGGAATCCATCAGCAGCCCCTCCTAGGATGGCAGGTGCAGGAGCTTTGTGTTGTCGGCATATACACCTGGACTTGCCCGAGGCCTCACTGACCCATCGTGTTACCTCTCTCAAATGCAGGTACCGATGTTTAAGATTCACCCTGAGATTCCGGAAACCCTTTCAGCCGAAGCCAGAGCCTTCATTTTATTCTGTTTTGAGTCTGACCCCCACAAACGTGTCACCGCTGCTGGCCTGCTCCAAGAGGTTTTCTTAAGGCAGGTGAACAAGGGCAAGAAGAACTGAATTGCGTTCAGGCTGGCAGGTGAGGCCTACGTGGACAGCTGGGCTCGGATTGGGCCGGGGCTTGTCTGTTGTTCAGAGAGAGCACACCAGCTTTCCCCGCGGCGCCAGTTTTTGTGACGGGTGGCAGGGATTGGAGCTGTCAAAACCCAATGAGTGAATGTCCCTTGATTTCCTGGCAGAGACACAGGGAGCCCCACAGGTGACAGCGATGTGCCCTCACATACTCCCTTCTCCATTAAAGCCTTTCTTCTAGGACTGTGCCGAGGAGGGAGCTGAGAGGCGCCTTGCCTGGGGTTTCATGTGTTTTCCACTTGGAGGGCCTGGTGCTTCATTTTTGGAGCCTGGCCTGTCACCCTGTGCTGCTCCCAACCTTGATTAAGGAGTGTCTGTCCTGCAGGCCCCTGGAGCAAGCAGCCCCTTGTAGGGCAGTAAGTCCTCTTGGGCGTGTGACATTAGAGTGGCCCTGGCATGGATGGGGTCAGAAGCCAGGACAGAGCAGCTCAGCATCTTGTTCCCAGAAGGTGACTTGCTACCCCAGTGTTTTCCATGAGCTGGCTAGAAACAGAGTGTCAGGCCCATCCCGGACCTGCTGAAGCAGAACCTACATCTCCCCAGGATTCCAGGGTGATTGCTTGCATCCCCAGTGAGAGCAGCACAGCCTGAGGCCCCTGGGTGGGTCACCTGGCCTGAGGGGCTGCCTGGGGCTCTGTGCTGGCACTGTCCCTGTCGCGGGAGCCGGTGGGCAGCAGCAGCAGCAGCGAGCACAGCTCAGTCTGCCCTGACTCAGATGCCCAGCCTGACAGGTTCTTCGAGAAGGCCCAGGCGCCCAAGCACAGGCTCAGGTACAGCCCGCCCCCAACCAGTTGAGAGACAGAGTCCCTCCAAGGTAGAAACCAGACGGCCATGAAAGGCTTGTGCAGCCTTTTTTCAAGGTCGATAGGGCGGCTAGGCAGCTGGTCAACCGTGCAAACAAGGAGGGCAGTGCGGTCACTCACTGTCCCTTCCTCTCCTTCCTTCCCCTTCTCGTCCCTTCTTCCTCCTTTCCCTCTCCTCATTTCCCTTTCCCTCCCACCCCTTCCTCCTCCCCTGTCATCCCTTATTCTCTCCCTTACACTCCCCCCCTCCCCCAACACTGGTGCTCCCGGGGTTAGAAAATGCTCTCTAGACCTCCTGCAATTTCATTTCTTGATGGTGAGGATGCGGAGGAGTCATCTCTTAGCCCCGCCCCACGGTGTCCTGGTGTGGAGACTGCTTGGGGGACTCAGTGGGTCCCTAAGGGTGTTTATCCGCAGTGTTTCAGATGACAGCTCTGCCTCAGAAGACCGGAGTGCAGCCTCATCTCCCGAGGACAGGGACCCTCTTCTTGCTGCACAAGGACAACGAGCGCAGCGCCGTCCTGTACAAAATCCTCTGGGAGGAGCAGAACCAGGTGGATTCCAACCTGTAGGAGTGCGTGGCCCAAGTAGAGGCTGCGCTGGGAGCTGCTAATTAATCCTGCTCCCTCTGCCCTTGGCCAAGCCCCGGAACAGGTCCAAAGAGGACTGATGTTCCTGCTACCCTATAACACTTGCACAGTTACACTAACCACTGTAAGTATGTCCCAATGTCCTTTCCTCTTCAAATAAAACAAGAAAAAAAAACCGATTCCACTGAAACCTGAATTTGCGGACCACTGCGGTGAAACTGGGCATTGATGAGGCAGTGCTGCCTCCTGGTGGAAAACAGGCCAAGTGGCAGCGCACAGCCTGCCTTAGCCTGGCGCTCACGTTACCCCCATTTTGAGCCCTGGAGCTGAGTTAACACGCAGCTGCAGGACACAGAGTTGCCCTAAGAAGCTGAGAGAATAGCCACGTTAGGGAGAAAAATTATGGATAGAAATATTTGACTTTTTATTTGGGATGGGGAAAGGTCCTTTTACCAAGAGGCCATTGCACCACTATGAAGTGTGCCTTCTGACAAGGGCTGTTGGGTTGGAGGCAGGAAGTGTTACAAGTGGCTAAGCAGGATGGTGGGCCATTTCCTTGAGGGGCTTAGTTGTGTGTATGCGGGCCAGAGGGGAGATGGGGCTACACAGCCCCCCAACAGGAAAGATACGGAGGGAATGTCAGGACCGGAGACCACTTCTCACCTGGGGATTCTCCAGTTCCATTAGGAAATGAATAATGGACAGTCTGGTTAATCTAGTTTCTTGGATTTTCCCTCCCTCTTTGATTTTCTCAATGATTTATTTTTTGGTGGGGGTTGGTGATCAGAGTTCTGAGGAGTTGCATCTCTCAGTCGGCCACGTCAATAAATAATTGGGATCCTGAGGGACTTCATCCGCTCCTCAGAGCACAGGGTGATGGCATCCATGGTATCAAAGCTAAAGGTGGACCTGGACTTTGACAGATCATCCATCAATCAGATTCACCTGGGACGGTTTGGATTTTAGGATACTGTAAGTGCTCCATTTAGCCCTAGAGAACATGCAGAAGGCAGGAAGCCCACTGAAGTGGCTCATTGGCAGCCAAACTGTGGAGTTCAGTTCAATTACCATCTTTTCCCAGAGTCCCCATCTTCTCACCAGTTACACCTGAATCCCGACTTCCAAGTTTTCTAAGCACTGAATGTGCATGTACAAGTGACTGGGCCGATTGCATTTGGCCCCAAAAGCCAGAGCATAGGCTCTGGGAGCAAGTAGCCATCTGTCAGGTGAGTAGGTGTGGGGTTCTAAACTTAAGTGTCTGCCCAAACAGATGTTGAGCTGCTCCAGGCCCGAGACCATGTCTGGCTTAGCTTTGTGTCTCAAGCCCCCACCACAGAGCCAGAGAGGTACTGTGCCTTGCCACAGGCCACACTAAAAGCAGCATTCCAGAGTTCTTTCTCGGTGTCTGTTCACCAAGATGGGGTCATTAGCAGGGTGTGTGGGTCCAGACGCTCGGCAAGGGGCATCTGCACCCACCGTGATTTAAGTAGCTGAGTTGGGAGGCGGGTAGCACTTCGTCAACTGACGCATATCCCATAACCCTGACCCAGAAGAAATCTGCCCTCTCGTCTTTCAGTCTCTGCCTTGTGATTTGTCACGATCCCTAGGCAGGCATTTGTGGTCTACCTTCCCAGGCAAGGAACCCTGGCATGGCCAGGAGTTTCCCCCAACAAAACTGGTCTGTTTTGTTCATTTCCTGGCACATAGTAGGTGTTCAAAAAGAGCTTGTGAAATAAATAAATGATTCCCATTTGCTCTAGGGAATCACATCATCAATAGGGTTGCAAAATATATAAACCACAGCTATAGCACACTAGTTGGTACTGGTTCCAAGTGATGCCTTGTTGCCATATGTTCATTGGGAAAGCTGACTAATATTTAACAGGCGATAAGGTGTCAGGTGTACCTATTTTGGAAGAAGTTATATACACCCCTAGGGATCTCTGAAGTCTAACCTCAGATAAATCTAATCATTTCTTTTTAGAAAGACCTGGAGTTTTAATTAACTGGTGGTGGCAAGATTTAAAGTTTTAAAAATACGACAAATGTGAAAGTTGATAGTAATGCTTAGCACTTCTTTAAAATGTTTTTTTTTCTGGTAAGGCTTATAATCACCAAATTCATAAAATGGTTTATATATGGGTTCAAGGTTATTCCTTTCCACTGCTGACTGGCATCCTATTATCTTCCATCTCAGTAGACTTAGTAGTAACAGCCGGTACTCAACTGCAAATGGCTGCCAAACATGTGACTCCTACAGACACACCTGCCCTTGTAGTACAGCGATGCCTCAGCTGTTGCTGGGCAGAGCAGGAAGGCAGCTACCCCCTAGTGAGGTTGGCAGGAGTAACAGGTCTGTCCTGATGGGTGTGTGAGACCAGTTCCCATGAAGCATTTAGCACAGGCCTGGGTTCCGTAAGTGTTCCTCCCACCATCAGAGCAGCACCTTTCTTGCCTTCCCTCCTCTCCCCCAGCTGTTCCAATGGGAGCAGGGCTTCCATTTCCTTGGCTTCGTCTCCTGTGAGGAGGAAAGAGCCTGACCATTAGTTTCAGCGACTTGACCTGACTTAGACAAGGTGAAATTATTTGGCTGAGTCCTAGTGAACACCATCAGGTTCTCTTTTGGTTCATGATAAATTTTGAGACAAAATATACCTACCCCAAGTGCTGGTCTTTGTTTTCAAGAGGAGGCAATACAAAGAAGGTGCCCGTGTACAGGCTGAAACCTGATCACAGAACTTTGCAGAAGCCTGACCATTGGGATTATGCTAGTTAAAAAAAAAAAAAACCCTCTTATGTTCTACAAATGTCTGAATTAAAATTGAACTAAAATCTCTGGATGATAGTTTTTTTTTAACCAGACTTTTGGAACAAAAAGAGAGTACCAAAATCTTTCACGGCAAACTCTAGAACAGAACACTCAAGAACTGTATCATCTTCAGTTACAATTCAGATCTAATGGTGAGTGATTTCGTGTGTGAGTGAGTGTGTGTGTGTGTGTGTGTGTGTGTCCGTCCGTCCATTTAAAATCTGGCTAGTTCTAGTGAGCCTTACGTGTGTGTGTGTGTGTGTGTGTGTGTGTGTGTGTGTGTGTGTGTGTGTGTGTCCGTCCGTCCGTCCGTCCATTTAAAATCTGGCTAGTTCTAGTGAGCCTTAACATACTTGAGGTTATTCTCTGTTAAACCAGTTAAGCACTCCAGTAGATTACAGAATGCTGATCAATAATGAACTACCAGTACATTCAGAACCAGATGAATCACAAATGCAGTAAAGGCTGCTCTGGGTGTCCACCTGACTTATGTTTCTTCTGGACTGAGTCTTCCTCTAAGCTGCCACCCAGATCATAAGGGGTCGATGGGACGGGCATGGTGATCAGAGCTACTGCATGGGCCTCTTCACTGTTTACTCAACGAACATTTATCGAGCACCTATGAAACCTCTGGCCCTGTGGGGGGGGCTTGAGACACAAAGCTAAGCCAGACATGGACTCGGGCCTGGAGCAGCTCAACATCTGTTTGGGCAGACACGTAAGTTTAAAACCCCACACCTACTCAGCTGACAGGTGGCTACTTGCTCCCAGATCCTATGCTCTGGCTTTTGGGGCTAAATGCAATCAATTACCCCGGTCACTTGTACATGCACATTCAGTGCTTAGAAAACTTGGAAGTCAGGATTCGGGTGTAACTGGTGAGAAGATGGGGACTCTGGGAAAAGATGGTAATTGAACTGAACTCCACAGTTTGGCTGCCAATGAGCCACTTCAGTGGGCTTCCTGCCTTTTGCCATGTTCTCTAGGGTTAAATGGAGCACTTACAGCATCCGGAAATCAAAGGAGGG